TGACCGAAGTACAACAGCATCTCTCCTATTCCGTCCAGTTTAGGTACAATGGGTTCCACGTATTGCGAAATCCGCCAACTTGTATCTCCTCATTTCCATTGCTATTTGACTGGTCGTTCCGGTCTCCCACACTATCAGGACATTGTGTGTACCTACACTAATTGTTCCCGTGGTTATCATAATCTTCGGTTTCACCATGAGGTGTCATGATTCTTCTAAATGAATATCCTTCAACTCGGAGTGCATAGTTTATGTTGTTTTTCTGGTTAGCGTTTGTTTAGCAAGGTTGTTTTCTACTGGATTGGGGCTGATGAGCCCATGTCCAACTTTCGTCCTTTGTCTTGGACCGCCAGTAACCCTGAAAGGGTTATAGGTGGGGTTTCTAGTGGTCATACGGATCAAAATTTTTATTCGTACTTCAAACATACCACATATGTGTATTAATTTATATCTGGAAAAATTGAAACCTATCATAATGTAATCGAACCATTCCAAGTTTTGTTCCTGATTAGATTGTTCATCATAATCTTATTTTCACATATGACTTTATTTGATTTTCTTTTATTATATTCTATTATGATTTTTAAAATATTCATTTGTATGATTTTTGGCAAATGTACACATTTACTTTGTTATGAAACAAGCATTAAATGAATTAAAAAATTCATTTTGACCAAACCAAATTTTTGTTTTACAATTCAACAGTACTAGTATTAGGTCAGTATAATAAAGTAGAGTCGATAAAAACAGGACACCCTTAATTATTTATTACCTAACTTTTTTATTCAGAGATGTAATTCGGTACAAAAAATATATGTCTAATACACAGTATGATGCATCACACATTTTGTTGCGAAGCTGTTTCTTCTTCATGACCGAAGTACAACAGCATCTCTCCTATTCCGTCCAGTTTAGGTACAATGGGTTCCACGTATTGCGAAATCCGCCAACTTGTATCTCCTCATTTCCATTGCTATTTGACTGGTCGTTCCGGTCTCCCACACTATCAGGACATTGTGTGTACCTACACTAATTGTTCCCGTGGTTATCATAATCTTCGGTTTCACCATGAGGTGTCATGATTCTTCTAAATGAATATCCTTCAACTCGGAGTGCATAGTTTATGTTGTTTTTCTGGTTAGCGTTTGTTTAGCAAGGTTGTTTTCTACTGGATTGGGGCTGATGAGCCCATGTCCAACTTTCGTCCTTTGTCTTGGACCGCCAGTAACCCTGAAAGGGTTATAGGTGGGGTTTCTAGTGGTCATACGGATCAAAATTTTTATTCGTACTTCAAACATACCACATATGTGTATTAATTTATATCTGGAAAAATTGAAACCTATCATAATGTAATCGAACCATTCCAAGTTTTGTTCCTGATTAGATTGTTCATCATAATCTTATTTTCACATATGACTTTATTTGATTTTCTTTTATTATATTCTATTATGATTTTTAAAATATTCATTTGTATGATTTTTGGCAAATGTACACATTTACTTTGTTATGAAACAAGTATTAAATGAATTAAAAAATTCATTTTGACCAAACCAAATTTTTGTTTTACAATTCAACAGTACTAGTATTAGGTCAGTATAATAAAGTAGAGTCGATAAAAACAGGACACCCTTAATTATTTATTACCTAACTTTTTTATTCAGAGATGTAATTCGGTACAAAAAATATATGTCTAATACACAGTATGATGCATCACACATTTTGTTGCGAAGCTGTTTCTTCTTCATGACCGAAGTACAACAGCATCTCTCCTATTCCGTCCAGTTTAGGTACAATGGGTTCCACGTATTGCGAAATCCGCCAACTTGTATCTCCTCATTTCCATTGCTATTTGACTGGTCGTTCCGGTCTCCCACACTATCAGGACATTGTGTGTACCTACACTAATTGTTCCCGTGGTTATCATAATCTTCGGTTTCACCATGAGGTGTCATGATTCTTCTAAATGAATATCCTTCAACTCGGAGTGCATAGTTTATGTTGTTTTTCTGGTTAGCGTTTGTTTAGCAAGGTTGTTTTCTACTGGATTGGGGCTGATGAGCCCATGTCCAACTTTCGTCCTTTGTCTTGGACCGCCAGTAACCCTGAAAGGGTTATAGGTGGGGTTTCTAGTGGTCATACGGATCAAAATTTTTATTCGTACTTCAAACATACCACATATGTGTATTAATTTATATCTGGAAAAATTGAAACCTATCATAATGTAATCGAACCATTCCAAGTTTTGTTCCTGATTAGATTGTTCATCATAATCTTATTTTCACATATGACTTTATTTGATTTTCTTTTATTATATTCTATTATGATTTTTAAAATATTCATTTGTATGATTTTTGGCAAATGTACACATTTACTTTGTTATGAAACAAGCATTAAATGAATTAAAAAATTCATTTTGACCAAACCAAATTTTTGTTTTACAATTCAACAGTACTAGTATTAGGTCAGTATAATAAAGTAGAGTCGATAAAAACAGGACACCCTTAATTATTTATTACCTAACTTTTTTATTCAGAGATGTAATTCGGTACAAAAAATATATGTCTAATACACAGTATGATGCATCACACATTTTGTTGCGAAGCTGTTTCTTCTTCATGACCGAAGTACAACAGCATCTCTCCTATTCCGTCCAGTTTAGGTACAATGGGTTCCACGTATTGCGAAATCCGCCAACTTGTATCTCCTCATTTCCATTGCTATTTGACTGGTCGTTCCGGTCTCCCACACTATCAGGACATTGTGTGTACCTACACTAATTGTTCCCGTGGTTATCATAATCTTCGGTTTCACCATGAGGTGTCATGATTCTTCTAAATGAATATCCTTCAACTCGGAGTGCATAGTTTATGTTGTTTTTCTGGTTAGCGTTTGTTTAGCAAGGTTGTTTTCTACTGGATTGGGGCTGATGAGCCCATGTCCAACTTTCGTTCTTTGTCTTGGACCGCCAGTAACCCTGAAAGGGTTATAGGTGGGGTTTCTAGTGGTCATACGGATCAAAATTTTTATTCGTACTTCAAACATACCACATATGTGTATTAATTTATATCTGGAAAAATTGAAACCTATCATAATGTAATCGAACCATTCCAAGTTTTGTTCCTGATTAGATTGTTCATCATAATCTTATTTTCACATATGACTTTATTTGATTTTCTTTTATTATATTCTATTATGATTTTTAAAATATTCATTTGTATGATTTTTGGCAAATGTACACATTTACTTTGTTATGAAACAAGTATTAAATGAATTAAAAAATTCATTTTGACCAAACCAAATTTTTGTTTTACAATTCAACAGTACTAGTATTAGGTCAGTATAATAAAGTAGAGTCGATAAAAACAGGACACCCTTAATTATTTATTACCTAACTATGGAAACTTGGACAGATGCATAAATGTGCCTGGTCCTACGTTGTAGCTGATTGACTAACTAATTTGGTACAAAAATTATGTCAAATACACACTATGAAGCATCATATATTTTGTTGCATAACATTATTCACTTTACTATAACTTCCAGTTATTAAAATTTACTAAAATACTTTCATAATAATATTTGGAAAAAGACAGCATCCTCAGAAATATCTCAGGTTTTACAAAACAATTAAAAGTATGTATTCAGTACCGTTGTGGTTCTTTCCAAAATACGCAAATCAAATAATATCTGGAATACGAACTGAACATAGCATTTTTTGAAAATTTGTCACCTAAATAAATGGACATTTTTTCATTAAGTAAGAATACTAAAGTTCACAATGTTCGACCAGTTATGACATTCGGATCATGTGGAAATGAACATTAAATATATGCTCACATTGTTTCATTTATTAGTTGCTGAACCGTTTTTGAAAGCAAGAAGTGAAAATAATTATAGAAAATCTCATTACACTAACAAGTAGATAATTTTAGTGCATTACTTGAAAAAACAGATGATTTATATTTTATTCACCAAAAAAGATAGATATCAAGATTCCAGTTTGTAGTGAGATATGAAGGATAGCTTGAAAGCTATCTTGATTATCTCACTGAAAGTAATTAGTGATCGAACTGAAGATGCAAGTATCAGCTTGTTCAAGACTCAGCAATCAGAGGTGTCTGTATTCACTGACGCTGAGTAATCAATGCCTCATAAGAATAACAACAAACATGAATTTATGACGACTCATTACAGATTAAATATGAGATTTTATTTATGCTGACCTACAAAACCAAGTGAACTGCAATCTTTAGATTCACTTCGCTAACTGCCTTTTTCATCATTTTTATTGATTACTTTTTATCTTTGGTGTCTTTACTGTTTCATCTAATAATCTCAGTGAAGCACCCGATATCACGAACTTATGTATGAATGATAAAGCAAAATGGAATAAGGATTGATTTTTCAATTATAGATTGACAGTTACGACTAATCAGTTTCTAGAGGTACTTCGATGAAACTGACAGAATTAGCAAATGTTGAGGTATTTTTCATAGAGATATCGAATTGAAGAAAACAATCCTTCCAAACAGATAAAGTTCTTCAGTGAGCGTAGTAGACATCACAAAAGTAACTAGAAGATATAAGAACTTCCGATTTCCTATGATGATAAAAACATCGAATGTATGCGGTCTCTTGTGTTTTTCGATTGTGAATTTCTTTCTCGAAGTTCTATGATTAATTGAATTCAAGAAATTCTATGAATGTGAGTTACGGCTGAGCAGTAAGATATTTTGAACATCACAAGACTTCCATGGATTAGTGAAATGGTTAGCTTAATTGCCAAAACTCAATCTGCAATAAACTATGAAAACGTCCATAGTCGCTCTAAACATTTTGAATAGAGATTTCACAAACACATGGATATGCTATACATCTGATATAATTAGTCATTTATGGTTGCAGTCTATATGTTATACCCGATACATCATACTTATGTACACCTACCTATCTATTCGTAACTGGTAGTTAGCAATAGCAAACAATAGAAAATACAAAACCGTATTCAAATAATTCTGATTCCTTTTATCAGAATAATAAAAAAAACAATTTTTTTTGTAGAAAAAAAAACACAATATAAACTGAACTCAATCTTGGCAATCAGGTGGTTCAAACAATAAAAACAAACTAAAAGGGAAAAAATAACCGAAGTAAGAAGCAGAAAATATATAAATTATGCACAATACAAGTCAAATAAAGTCAGGTCGAATAATTGGTTAGTCATAAATTACAATTAGAATATCTAAGTATATTTTTATAATAAAAAAAGTGAAGACATTTTCACCTTCAAATTACATTTCTACTCCAAATATATATCTTTACATGTGTAAATGAGCAAATTTGGTTGTGACAGTTAATTGAGAGAATGAACAATTTAGTGTTGATAACGAAGAAATAAAAGAGAGAACTAAATGACAAATACAAATTGCATTTAAACAACATTAAGTTAGCAACTAAATTATCTATGTAACTTATATTTGAAAACAAACTTGTAAATATCTCCAATTTCCCTTTGTCAACTTTTTATTGTACAGAAGAGTTTCAGGAAACAGTAAATATATCGATTTTATAAGATTGAATACATATATTTGCACAAATCATTAAAACAACATATTGGTGACCAGTGAAATTAACAATTGATCATATGAGACGAATACAATACACAATAGGTGCAATAAAAATAAGGCAGTAAAAAGTTGAAAACAGCGCTGAAGTGTAAAATAACAAATACGAAGAGAAAGGTTAAAAAAACCACTTGATAAAATAAAGGAAAAACAACACCAAAACTATCTTGGTCAACTAAGTGGGGAAAATGACATAAACTAGAGCATATGTATTTATAAATTAGCGAAATTAAACAAGAAAAAGTAAACAATCAGTGTCATTATCATCATCATCATCACAGTGAACAATTTATTCTGCCTAACAGTAATGGTTTCAAGTAAAATGAACAGTAGCTGATACTTGTTGACATTATCGCCTATGAAAAAAGACAAAAGTCATGTGAAAATAAAAATGTGATCATTATTATATCATCCATGGTTCATCCTAAAGATTATCATCACCATTAGGCTTTAAGACTTTCGACGAAGTCCCATATGGCAACTGTTAAGCATACCTTTTATATAATAAAAATAATATTACTACGATAAAAGTTGAGTAGCTGAGGAGGTTTAAAAAATGGAATAATCCAAGTGACATACGCATTTATCTACAATAAAGTACACAATAATGCACTTATACACATTATGTACTACTTATTACAATAAATAAGTAGCTCAATAAGAAACACGAAAATATGCTGATGATCAAGGAAGTTAGTGAAAGCCCCACGTAGAGAATTCGACCAGTTATACAGACAGATAGATAAAGAAATGAAGAGATGACAATAGCCTAACAAAACAAAACAAAATGAGGGAGAAGTAAGAAAATAAGTCGATAAGGAAAATGTCAAAACGGAACAGAAACAGAGAAAGTTGATGTGAATGAGGACTATTTTCTGAATATTAATAACAAGAATTACAACTACCGATCTGATTTACTACTTTTCTTTCTCTTTTAAGGATATAATAATAATAATCTATAAACAAACAGAGATGTTTTAAAATTGTTTAATAGGATTCAAAAACACTAACTAAGAAGATGAACAGGAAAGACAGTCAAAACAGTTTTCATCGATGCACAGAAACAATGTTTTGTACTGAAATAATCTATCACTCTTTCTACAAGAATAATTGAAAATAATATCTAGAAAAAAAACCTTTTTAATAAATATCTGGACATTTTAACCAATCTTGTCGTTCTTTTGATTCCCAATAGTTTCCTAAATATTCATGATATAGATTACCATTGACATCTTGTTTTGGTGAAAACCAAACTGGCGTGAATAGTGGTTCATCTGTTTGACCTAAGGAAAAACAACATATATATAATAATTTTTTACTGAGTAATGAACAATTTCATGTTTGTTTAGTCTCTTAGTGTTGACTGGATTCAATCAATATATAGGATTGTACCTACTGCCTTAAGTGACTCAACACCGCGTGCACTAAATTGAGATATCAGGTGGTTGGAGGTAATCGACAGGATATGCATATATATATATATATATATATATATATATATATATATATATATATATATATATATATATATTAAACCGCACGCTAAAGTAACTTCATGATAGATAAAATAGTCGAATGCCTATATTCCTGAAATTCGATTATCTTTCTTCAAAAACTGAATAAACAGTTCTTCCTAACTCAAAGGTCAGTCACTCCAACTAAATCCACACTATCCCAATTCGTAAACAATATGATTTCATGTCCGAACAACAAATATTGAAAAATTTCATAACATTGAGAAACAGAGTTTTCTATTTTTCCCACTATAGATGAATCCTCAAAGAAGTAAATGTTTCCGGGCCTATAAGACAATTAATTGTCTGTGTTACTAAAAGTTCAAATACTAACGTTCAGTGATATCTAAAGATTAGGCAACTAGTAAAATAGAATCAGTTTGCAAGTTATGAAGTAAAAACATAAGATTGGTTTTTTTATCAGAAAATTGTACGGTAAACTAAACTAAATAACTGATCTTTCATAAACATTTTCTTTGAACGAACATGTGCTAAAGAGACTGAGGATAAAAAGCTACTTTATAATAATGAAGTGTCGACATATAAATTAAAATGTGTCAGTCAGTCAATCACAACGTAGAACTTCGTACGTACGTACAACAGTTCGAGTTGCTACACCACATTAGCACAGAGATGCAGTTGTCGATTCAAATGCTTACCATCAATAGTGTATTTTATACCATTTAGAAATGAAACAATAAGGTTAACTAAACCTATTTCAGTTGAGATTTTCCAAAATTATCTGTAGAATTTTTAATATGTTATGTGCTGTGACATGATGGTTTCAGTATGTAACTATCACGTAAAAGGATAATCATTGTAAAATGAGACTACTTTTAATTGCCTATCTTGGTGGGGATGTAGAAAAGTTAAAATTAGTAACTTGACGATCAAGTTTGGTTTGGTAAATGACATTGCAAATAATAAATGATACAATTCTGCATTAAAACAACATCACAATAATACCTTCTCTAACTGCTTTCTCCCATGCATGTCGTTTATTTCTTTGTTTCGCTTCAAGGCGTCTTTTTTCTTCATTTGCTTGATCCCACAATCCTTGTTCCATAAGACGTTGATCAGGTCTACGTCTTGAGTCAGTCGGTGCAACACCATCTTCCATTTCATTTAATTCAATAGCAAATCGAGAAAAGTGATACATCTGGAGTAGGAAAATAAATTATTTCAATAAAAACTTTTTCAAGTTATTTGAATATGATATTAACAGGTTGTGAATTTCCGTCAGACAAGAAAACAACTTTCAACAACAAATTTGATATTAGTGCAACACGGATTGTTTCATTTCTTCTATTCATATCTAGCGAACAAAACACAATATTAGACTGGTTATTTATATAACTCACACCTTCCAGAGTTAGCACATTAGTTTCTTAACCAATAGTGATATCAACAAAGCGGTGGAAACATCGAGGTGCAGAGGACAAGCTGTGAATCACATGTGGAGAAATTCAAACACTTCACTTCTACCCCAAGTTTGTGCTGATGATGTCGTTCAGAAGGACGATGGAAGCTCCACGACCAAACCATCCAGCTCAGAGAACAAACTAACATAAAAATCACCCACCTGATCTACAAATCTTCTCCACCATCTCAGAATTAATACTGTTTCTTAATCTCCTTAGGTGAGTAATTCATCTCATCCTGTTAACGTTTAATATATATGACAATATGGCATCTTCAAGCTTAAAATATATTCGTTAGCAAATTCAAACAATCCAGACTATAGTTCATACCGATAATAATTTTAAAAATGAGGTGATTAGAAAATGTGATAATCAAGAAGACAGAAAGAATGGTAGAAATCTCATTAAGTCAATATGAAGTTCAAGTGATATTTGCCAAACAATGTAGACTACAGTAGCTAATTTGTCTAGAAAAAAAACAAATTTATAAGTTTCACTTTCTCTAACAAACTAAATCACGATAAGTTGGCTTTAGTTTAGCTGTTTTTCACCTTTAAATGATGCTTAAAATAGTTACTGTTCGTTCAATGGACTGGATGTGCGTTCAGTGCCTCCATCATCCTCAACAAGCTTTCAAACCGGTCTCCTCTTACAGTAAAAACCCTCAAACTGAACAAGCGAAAACATCATCTGCTAGTCGTATCCACCCTTCAATGTAATTTTTTGTAGGACAATTTTACAAGAGAACAAGGAAGTATTCGAATGAACACGACTGACTTCGACAACTAAACGGATTAATTGTTAGCAAACCTAAAGCCAAAAAACCATGATTATTTGAATTCTTTTTTACTTACTAGAATCATATGGTTGTCACAATAAATAATTACCGACAAATAAATAAATGTATAATAATTTCGGAAGAAATCATTTAGTTTTTTTTCCTTACAATACATGCACAACAACAAAGTCAACCAATACACTTAATGGATTTTGGTGCATATTTATTGCCTTTCAGTTCAATCTATTATTTTTTGTCACATAAAAGTAATCAGTAGATGTGTAGACAGGAAAATTAAGTAGGCGGAAATCCAGTCCTTTTTGGTTTTATCAATTTATTAGTAAGAACAAGGCAAAAAGACTTACTACCCTACCCTTTCCATCATCTTACTACTTGATACTAATCACAAATTCATACTATCTAGTATTATTTATGAATTATATGATTCAGTAATCATAGTATAAACTTACATCAGCAGCATTTAGAGGTAATGGATCAGGTTTCCATACTAATACCGGCTCACCGACAGGTACTTTATCGATTGATAAACGTTGATATTCTAAATAACTATCCCACGTTCCTTGAATTACAGCAACTGGTAAACCAGTTGAATTTTTCACAAAACCTGTAATCTAATTTTTTTTGGTTTTTTTAGTGAAGGGAAAACATAATCAAGAAGAAAACTCAATTTAAAGAGAACTCAGGAATCTTTAACAATGTCCAATATTAAAATTATTGTACAAAAAAACCTCCCAATTCTATTGATTCAAACAATTTGTCTTTGTTTTATCGAACAAATTAATGGTAAGCAGATACGCTGGACTTTGTAGGTTTACAGTTGTAAATAATAAGAACGCCCATGTATATCTTGTTATAGATTTCCATATATCATTCAAAGTTCATACATAGATCAAAGTCAAATGATGATTACAGTTTCAAACGAACCCATTGTGAATTCTTTTTTAAAGTATTATTTAACAATATATTTATTTAGTTTAAGCTTTGACGTTATACATTACAATAAAAAATTCCAAACTATTTTATATATTTTTTTTAGTAGACTATGCTTATTTCTAGCAATTGTGATGTGATAACGTTTACTTACCGAAAAATATATGTTATCCAATAAGTAATAATTTTAAAAGTACCACAATAAAGTTAAGAGAATAAAAACTAACAATGGTTGAAGGGTTGTACGACGTCATGGATAGATCAAAGTTAGATATTAACATCATCAGATGCCGGTTCAGTGGTCTAGAAGTTGAGCGGTCATGCACGAGACTGAAGGTCCTGAGTTCGAGTCCGTGTGTGAGATCGTGGGAGTGCACTATTGAGTAGTTTACTAGAGTGAAATAACTGTCCAGTGCTATCAGCTTTTTAATGGTGGTCTAACTTGGATCGACTCATGAATTAAACTATTAAAATCACCACAATCTCCACAAACCCCATTTTGAAAATATTTTTTTTCACAATAATATGGTATATTTAGCAGCATTACACATACATTCAATTTTTTTCTTCATAAATTCTTTGTATATGTTACCGACATAAATATATTTCACTTTCATACGAATACACAATAAAGTCTTTACATAATAAAGACTTCACCTTATCGTAAATAAAGGACAGGACAAATGAAAAGTGCTATGTAGTGAGAGTGAACCCTAGGATACTCTGCATAAGATCTTTCTTCTAAACAAGAGGTATGACGAGAATATATATATATATAACCAAATACGATGACATACTCTTCTTGACTGTCCTCTATTAAAATAAGAATGAGCGATAAACTGCAAGTTACATGAATAACCAGTTTTATGATTTTCTATTGTTACATCACCATAATTATCAATCCATATAGTACCAACAATTAAATTATGAACAACTGTTGTTACTTTTGTCCAAGTATAATGTGATCCATCAGTGAATTGTAGATTAATGGTACCTAAATGATAAATTAACATGGATTAAAAAATGTATGGAAATGGAGAACTAAGTAAAGGAAAAAACGAACTGTTACGTAATGTGTATGAAGTGAGTTCTAGACACTTTGAATGAATAAACTGACAAGTGAGAGAAGGAATTTAAACGGATGAGTTCGATAGTAATACGTAAGAATATCTCATTTATTGAATTACAACAAATGAACTAGGAATTCACAGTCTGATAGTGTTAACTCACAAAGAAATGGTTATCAAATAACTACAAATACTTGTATTCATTAAACAACCAAATAATATTATTTTAAAATGTACGATGGTAGACAGTGTAAAAAGAAGAATCATCTGATTTGTGCCCAATTAAAAACGTAACTAAAATACTTAGATTCATTCTGTATAGTTTCTTTGAATTTTCCTATTGATGTTTAGGACTGCAATTGGTCAGTCTCTCTCTTATTGGTATATGTGCATATTGTACGTATTGCCTCGATATAGCCTTAATTCACAAACATTATAAGCAAAGATGGATGGTGGCTAGCAGTGGAATCCAGGATTTAAGGCACTATCGAAGCAATCCGCACAGGATGCACATATGCCAATAACAGACTGATTGATTGCAGTCCTAAACATCAATGTGAAGATTCAAACAAATAATACAAAGTGAATTTAAACTTCACCTAATTGCACAACTAAGTGGCTATCAGGACTCAGTAGCTAAGTGGATAACGCAATGGTCTTTGAAGCGAATAGTACAGGGTTATAGTCCCAGAATGAACATCAACTCTGAGATGCAGGTAAATCCAGCTGACGAGTCCCAAATAGGACGAAACGCGCGTCCTGGATTCCATAGCTAGCCACTATCCATCTTTGCTTGTAACTGTAATACATAAGCACCTACATAAAATGATCGGTTATTTTACGCAACTTCAAGACTCTAATGTAAAACAAAAAATACTGAAATGAAAACGATTAGGGTTTATATGACAAGTAAGAATTATAAATAGGAGTTAGGTAGCAATATCAATGACGACTAAATGATTTTAAAAACATGTTTTCTACACAACCCTGTTTTAAATAACTCTTATTCATGTACATTTTTGGGTTCAATATTCTACATAAATTTTGTTAGAAAAACCCTGTACTCATGATAAACTATGATGTTTTTCAATTTTAGGTTACTAAAGGCTTGCATAGTAATCCGGTTTCGTGAGAATCTACCAGTAAATCTATAGGGTATCAGTGTGCATTACTTATCGATCAGTATTTTGTCATCTTAAGGAGTTGTAACGGGTTTACAAATCCTAAAATATTCCCTTCATAATTAGCTGAAAGAAAGTGAGTATATCATTCCATTTAAACAAGTCGATAGAAAAGTCATGAACTTTCTTAATGAACCATTTTCAATATCCTCTACATTTGTTTTATCGGATGTGCTAAGTGAATAAAAGTACGATAATTACAACATATACAATAAAGTGGGAATAGTGATTTGAGGATATTGATGAACAATTATACTGTCTTGCTAAATTATCCAACTTTAACAATCCTACAGTAATAATATACAATGTATTATGTTAGGCTTCATCCACAAGATGTATGTTGGCAAGTATTTTCCAACAAAATAAAACTCAGCTTTCTGTATATTCGATAGATTTATTTAGGCTTTTCATAAGTTATTCAAAAAAAAATTACAGAGTATCAGGATATCAGACCGCTAAATTCTAAACTAATTGTTCTACTAGTGAGAAAGAAAAAAAAAAGTGTACCGACTTGCAGAAATTCAATCTCGTATAATGGTAAGTAGAAAGTGTATTCAATAGAACAAATTCACTTCTATGATGAAAATGCACAATAATGTAGTAGATCACATGAATTTGAAAATAAAAAATTAAACATTCCACGTAAGGATGTATAAGAGGTTGTTTTATTTTGTTTTGTTTGTTTTCTCTCTATGAAAACAATTTTATCTAAGGTATTTTAGTTTACTTATATCAAACTAAAGGCATATTCGTTGAATCAATCTCATATAGAACGACTTAATCACATGAATAATATAATACATATTTGTAGAAAAAAATTTCTCATATATAATTTGAGTAAAACAAAATAATGTGAATGAAATACTATTTTATGACAACAATTAGTTTATTAGACAAAAAATTTCAAATGTGCTGCTGGTTGAAAACAAACATCTAGAAAGTAAAACAAAGCTCAATGATTCTATATTATAAGAAATTCAATATTTTCTTTGTCAAAGAAACACCATGAATAAGTTTATGATAAAAACATTTCACTTACAAGGTTAGTGGAGAAGAATCTAGCAGATAAATGATGAAATTATTAACCATATAGTGACCACTTTTGGAAAGTAATTATAAGAGTTCTAATAATAAATCATAGTCAGTGAAGTTCAGTTAAGTTAAATGAGGCCCCCGAATGCCCTGGTACGGCCGAGATTAGGGAGAGTTCGCTCTCCCTCTCCAAATGCTCTCACATAAACCACGTGCATACAACCACTGTCAAGGAAGTCCTACTCCGCCTACCCCGCCTTCCCGTGGCGGGGGTGTTGTTTACAAAATTGAGAGGACAAAAACCGAATTTCCAGCGTTTTAACCAGGTTGGTGAACAGGGAAAGTTTACCTAGGGGAGTTAAAAAAACCCTGATTCCAAATCAATGGTGCACATGGACTCCAGTATCCTGAGGGAACAAATGACGTATGAACCAATTGTTGGTAACTGGTTACCATGGGACTGCATCTCCTCACGATGCTTCAATGCCTTGTGGACCAGACCTTTAGGTCAAAGCCTCCGGGTGTGGGACCCTAAGAAAACCACCTGCTTCAGTCTGGGCACCTAGGCAGTATCACAGCCCTAACACAAATCAAATGACATTTGTGCGGTGCATATGTATCTGGTGCTTTCTTGTACCAACATTTATGTGTTTAAATAATAATGATAATAATAATAATAGTAATAAGTTAAATGAGGCAGTTAGTGCCCTATTAATAGCACTGAAAGATGGCTATGTATTAACGCGAATTAACGGAAGTTCAAAATTTAAATTACTGGATCCCGCCTCTCTGTGGTCTAACGGTTAATCGCTCGTCACGAGACCTGAAATTTTCAGGTTTGACCTTCATAGAATCGTGAATGTGTATTGCTGGTAAGTCTCATACTAGTATGAAACAGATATTCTGTGCTTCCTAGTTTACAATGGTTGGCTAAGGTCAGTCGATAATCTAAACTAAGCGATTCGACAATCACTATAAATACCGTTTAGTTATAAATTAGTAACATCAAAAATCTCAATATACCTATGAAGCAATATGGTAATAGTTAATTTCTTATACAGAAATACTTAAATACAGTAAATAAACAATCATTAATGGAAACCAAGGTAAATGAAACTTCATAAAAAGTCCATAAGAAAAATACATACACAAATAAAGTTCATTTAAGATAGAATTACACCTGAAAGTGAAAGTAACAAAAACAGTGGAGAAAAACAAATAAACACGCAAACAAATGAATGGATTTTGAAAAATATAAAAAAGAAGGATCATTTCACTTGTATAATTAAAAAAATAAACCATATCTAAATAACAAAACCAGTAATACAATAAGTTTTAATTATTAGAGAGAAGAGGTAATCAATTTTCTTAATGTATAATAACAGCCAAATACGAAATAAGAACAATATACGACCTAAATAGAATAGATTACTCAAGATAAGTGTTTAATGTATGATATCACATAGTGGCATGGCAGTTTCAAATGAAAGAGGAGGAGGTTATGCACATAGTGCATTACACAGTCAATTAATTATTTGGAAATGACCAAGAGATTAAAATTATTTCAGTCTAACAGGACGTCGGTCGCCAACCGAATAACCCATCGGTAACATTTCCGACTGTGAAGCTAAGTGGCAAATCATAGATCCATCATGAAGCATTTATTTCATCAAGATTACATGTACACATTGCTAACGAATATTAAAAAAAACATGAAACCTAGAAGCAGTTTCCTATCAACTACCTTTAATCATCTAAAACAACACTTTATGTAGAAATATATATAATACAATGATGCGTAAAACGGTATAACTGGCTTATCTATTGTGAAAGCTAGGCGTACAATTCGGCTTACCAAATTGAGCTACGTGTAAAAGCAAGTGGAGTTGCAACTAAGTGGATTTGCCGAGATGTTGATCTACATACTTATACGGAGTAATAATAATAAATAATCAATAGCATATAATACTAAACAAAATGTTTGCCAATTCAAAGGTCAGTCAATGATATTGCTATACAACTACCTATGCATGAAACAATAAAGTTAATCAATAAAAATGAAAATCGACCAAACATTTATAACAAAAAACGAACTATAAGGTATGACACAGTTTGACTACACGTTGACAGACATCCAAAATTGTATTGTTTGACAAAAGAAAGGAAACGATAAAACAAACAGAAATTTGCATATCTCTTTTAGTTTCTTTATGAAACGTATGGGAAAGATAGAAGTACTCTGGTAACTTTTTCTAAGTTCCATGATAGAAAACCTATGTACGAGCTTACAAACTGATTAGTGAATAATTACCTATATAATTAATGTTTGGCACTTAATAGTAATCGAATTCTATCGATCAAGTTGATTTGTGCAATATGTTTTGATACTGTTTGGTTAGAGGAAACGGACATGAAGCATAGAGACTTAGGTTCCATCCTAAATGGCGGTCGTGAACAAAGGCGCATGTTAAGGAATCTAATGCTTCATGTGGGATTCCAACAGTCGTTACATAGTCTTAGTTAGCTCCATCACCATTTGATAGTACACTGATCTCTTGTTAGATGACTATAACCATCCAATATTATCACAAACATTTCATATTCACCTTTTATTTTACTGAATTATTTTAATTAAAACACAACGGTCCCATATAATCTATGATAAATGACATTCCAAGCATACTGTGCCGAGATAACTCAGGATATTCTTTTAC